CTCTCTCTCTCTCTCTCTCTCTCTCTCTCTCTCTCTCTCTCTCTCTCTCTCTCTCTCTCTCTCTCTCTCTACCCCGCGCGCGTCAGCCGGCTCGCGCTGCTCGCCCTGCGCACGGTTTCGAACTGCGGCCAACTGCCATCCACCAACTGCCTACCCCGTTTGGCCTCCACACGGTTTTGCTGCGGCACAGCCTGCCCCGTTCGACCTCCACACCGTTTCGCTACCGCCCGCCTTTCCTGCAGCCTGCCCCGTTCGGCCTCCGCACCAGTTCGCCGCCCGCTCCCCTGTCAATCTGGCCTGCCCGCCTCGCCCGTTTCACATTGGCACGCCTGCCTCGGCCGCGTCGGCCTCCTTGGTAGCTCCATGCACGGGCCCTCGGCCCATTTTTTTCTTTCCCAACACTGGCAGCGTGTTCGCGTGGGACGATTACGCGAGACCCGCTATTTCCTTTAGAGTATTAGAGAAGTAAAAGAAAGAAAGGGTAAGCTCATTCCTTCCCCCTCCCATCCATCGCCAGGGATTAGGAGCCTGGGTACTGCTCCCCAAAGAGTTGGGATCGTTAGTAATGCCCCGATGGTCCGTTAGTGTGAGGTGGGAAAAAATATTGAGAGAAAAAATATACAGCTGTTCCTCGATGAGGAGAAGCCAACTTTTTTCGCACGCACAAAAACAAGGGTAAGTTGTGTCCTTCGGTACATCTGTTAAAACTTAAAATTGGAATGATACAGGAAGATTAGCATGGCCCATGCACAAGGATGACACCTATATGCAATGACTTGCTGATTTGGCTGTTGGAATCTGACTGCGAGGCTGTACAGTGACAGCGGTAGGGTTGGGTTTGTAATTTTGTTTGTGTCAAGGACTAACCGCTAGTTCAGACTAGGGGGGAATTCGTGGGGGACATATCTGTAAATTGTGGAAAATTCCAGGTCCCCAATAGACTCGAATTTCCTATAGTCTCCTACTGCAGTCTAGCAGACCCGGACTATCACTAGGACGGGAGGCCGTCGCGGTCGTGGCCCGTAGCAGCGGTCCTATAGCCTATAGACGGGTAGGGAGAGGCCGAGAGGCCAAAACTGAAATGGTACCGGTCAGTCCAGTTAGGTCTAGGTCTAAGTCCAGGCTAGAACTATTAGTAGAGCGAGGTCGGTCTAGGTAGGACTTTTGGCAATTCATTTCTTCGTCGGTACTACGGAGTGGAGCCAAGGAAGGAAGGTGACGATTGACTTCAGGCGCGGCATCCTAAGTCCCTCATCGGTGACGACAGCCATAGCCAGACTGTTGGAGCTTGCCATAGCTGGTGCGTTCTCTGAGCACTCACCCTTGAGGGTGACTGCGACTGTTTGGGCTATCAGGAGGCTCTACATTGTGGTTTGTGGGTGGACTACTGCTGCTGCTACTTCATCAGGGTTACCTGCGTGGCAGAGACAATGGCGCTGCAGCCATAGTTGCACCTTTCATCGTCAGAGTTCCTACATCGGCATTGAGGACTGCATCGCTGGTCTTGTTCTGCATCTTGGTGGTTGGCGCTGGCCTTAGGGAGGCTCATCTAGGGTAGCACAACTTACTGGGTGTGAGTGTGAGAGTGCAGTATGGAGTTCGGTGGTGGTGAGATACTGGGACAAACTCTGGGACGATATTGGTTCAGATTGGCTCAAACTTGTGCAGTATGGAGTTCGGTGGTGGTGAGATACTGGGACAAACCCTGTGACGATATTGGTTCAGATTGGCTCAAACTTCGTTAAGTTCTTTTGTTATCCTCGCCAGTGTCTTCTTGTGATTGGTTGTTGGGAGTATTGTCAGAGAGTGAGAAGCACTGTGCGTTATCTCCACACCTGCATGTAACCGTTTTCCGCTGTCTACTATGTTCGTGTGCAGTGTGTACTATGTCTCCTCTCCCCTTCTTCTTGTGCATGTATGGGCATGTGTGAGACTGTCTGAGTGCGAGTGTTGATTGAATTCAATAGACAACCAAAATCATAACAGTTGGTATCGGAGCAGGATAGGATAACTGAGGGTTGAGAGCAAGTGGGGCGCCTTCTTCTTCTAAGGATCTTTTGGAGAGAGTTTCATGGCGATCCTTCTTCTTCAGTACTGAATTGGGCGAAAAGAAGACTTGCAGGCGGTGAATTCAGGAGCACAGTAACTGGATTGATCAGGCGCTGCTTTCCTGTCAGAGCGCCTGACCCTAGGTAGCGAGTACAAGGCAATTTCGCTAGTATTGGCATGGGAGCCAAAATTGCGATTTGGCTCAGGGTGGCGAAATTCATCTGAGGGTTGTGAAGTACTGAGTGGTGGTTTCTGCAGTGTATAGCGCTGGAGAGGATCGACTGACTAAGTCAATCGCACACCGAATCATGTTTTCCTGGCCCTACTCAAGTATCAGCGGATGGGAGTGCAAGTAGCGAATTTTCTCTGTCTGCATGACAATTCGCTATCTGACTAGATTCACTGAATCTAGCACTCTAAGAGGAAGGGGTGTAAATTGTCTGCCATAGCCAGAGCTTTATCGTCCTTTGCGAAATCTTTCTCAAGTGCGTATGTTCCATGCAGAACTCAGGGTTGCGATTTATTCAGGATGATCAGAGTCAAAATTGATGGTCCATCTGTCAGTGTAGATCTAAAAATAGATTTGTTAGACTACATGACAGCCATAGCCATCTTCTTCCTCGGTCTCTGTTGCTCATATCTCTTCCCCTGTTGACTCTTTCTAACTCAAAATCTGTGACTGCTTGACAGTATTGCGCTGGATACTATATGCTCAAATAGTGAATTCTGTACTGGAAAAGTAGTGCTACCATGAATTGTAATTTTGACAATATCTAGAAGTGGCATTTGGTAGTGTGACCTGGTATGTGCTCTCTTTCTCGTCACTTTAGAGTTTTTTTTCTTCGTCTTATTGGTCGCTACTCTCTCGTCTCTCTTCCCTTCACTTCCCTTCTACACGTTTTTCTCAGCCGATGTGCTCCTCCCGTCGCTCCTGTTACTTCCCTCCCTTTTCCTCTCCTTCCCTCCCTTTCCTCTCCTTCCCTCCCCTTACCTCTTCTTCCCTTTCCCTCGCCTTCTCTTCCTTTCCCTACCTTCGTTTCCCTCCCTCCCCTCATTTCCCTCCCCTTCCCTCGCCACTCCTCGTTCACTCACCTTCTTTCTCGTCTATGTTCCCTGCTTCCTGTTCCCTTCTTCCCCCTCGCTGCTATTCCCCAGCCCTCTCCGTGTCTTTCTCTCTTGTCACTCTTCCCTCTTCTTCTACTCTCTCCTCTTTTCCTCCTTTGATCTCCTCTCCCTTCCTCTCTTCTCCTTTCCACTTCTTTCTTCTTCTGTCCTCTACTCTCCTCTACACACTTCACCTCCTTTGTGGCTCAGCCTTTTCTCTCATCTTCTTCTCTCCCTCTTGTTGCATACCGTAACAGTGCAGACCAGAACATGAACCGACCTCTCTCACATAGTACAGGATAGCGCAGCGGAAGGCTATAATACCAATGGTCAGACCAATCAATGTCGCAATGCAGACCAAACATACATCATCATCATCACATGGTGTGAAGGGGCCTGGGCCTCACACAGGAAGAATGCGCCAGTCCCCAAGCCATACACAAACGAAGAGGAGGGGGATCAAACAATGAAGAGGGGAAAGATGGGAATGTCGTCAACACCAAGTCTTCGATTCAGGCCCCAAATAATCCCTCGTCCAATGTCTCAATCCCAATGTCGAGTCTGAATCCAAATGTCGTCAAATCTCAAAGTCGCAAATCTCTCTCTCTCGTTGTTGCATACTGTAACGTGAAGACCAGAACAAGAACCGACCTCTCAATACAAAGTACAAGATAACACAGCGGAAGACTTAGATACGAATGATCCGAACAATCAATATTGCAATGCAGCCCTGAACACACGTCATCATCATCGTTATCTGGTGTGAAGGGGTCTGGCGCTTCACACAAGAAGACTGCGCCAGCCCCGACCATACACAGACGAAGAAGGAGGGGTTAGACGAAAGAGGAGGGGAACATGGGGATGTCGTCAACACCAAGTCTCGGTACAGGCCCAAATAGTCCCTCGTCGAAATGTCTGAATCCCATAGTCCAGTCTGGATCCAGTGTCGTCAAGTCTCAAGTCACAACTCTTTCTCTCTCTGTCGTAGTCTGAGAAGTCAGGTGGTGAGAGGGTGAGAAGAGATGGTGGACTTAGAAGAGGAAGAAGAAGAACTCTCTCTCTCTCTATGTCCAGTACTAACCTGTTTACTTGGCGCCTTGATGCAGGTACCACGAAGATGGAGCTGGAGCGATGGCGCCACAGTAAGTACCACTGGCCTCCGCCAGTATCTCTCCCACTCTACGATCTACCACCTACCAGCGCCCAGCGTTGAAGACTACTCTATGGCGATGGGCGCCCAACGCCGAAGACTACAGCTAGCGCTAACTCCTGCCTAGTGCTGAAGACTACTGCAGCGCTCCTCTTGAGTGCTGCGACCGAAATCCTGAAGACTACTCGTGCCTACTAACAACTACCTACCCGTGAAGTGCATGGGAACTTCCTATGTACTACCGGGTGTGCCTCCTGAGCCGTGCGAGCAGTTCAGGAGGCTGCCCTTGCCAATGCCGAAGGGAGGCAGGGGCTGCAGCTGCAGCTCCTGCTCAAGCTCGTGAGGAATAGGCTATTTCTGGCCTGTTCCGAAACCCTGTATTCGTGCCTGAGTCTTAGGGGTGGTCGAAACAATGAGGGCCTGAAAAAGGCCCTCCGTTTCAGGCTGGAAAACCTCTGGGCCTGAAAGGCCCAGAAATAGGCTGAAACGGAGTACGGCCTGCAGACCCTCGTTTTTCAGCTTTCAGGCTGAAACGACCGGGGCCTGTAAGCCCTAAGTTTTAGGCTTTTAGGCTGAAAGTCCGGGACGGGCCCTGCAGGGCCTGTGTGGCTACACAGTATGCCACCCCCCCCCCTCCTTGAAGAACCGAGCTTACCTGCGAGGGCGAAGCTGTCTGTCCGAGGGAGGGACCACAGTCCGGGTGGGAGGGGCTGGTCGTGAAGCTTCCTGAGCTAACCTCCGCTTTCATAATGCGCATAGATCAGCGGTGCGGATGCTTTCAAATCTGCGCCTGAAATCCACCGAGTGTCGTCGTGATCGCATGCTTTGAATATGACTTTGTACTGCCGCGGCTTGCTGCCATACTTGCAATCGGTGATGACGCGGTCAAGTTCCTGATGACCATCCATAGAAGGAGGGTCCTGCGATCGTCGGCCCGGAAAGTCGTCGCTCTTGGCTGGCGTGTATGTTGCCAGCTTCGAGGCGTGGAAGACCGGATGGACCGTCAGATGCTCTGGAATGTTGATCACAAATGAAGGGCCATCGGGCTCATCGCCCGCGGCTGCTGTCACAGACCAAGGTCCAAACCACTTGGGAAGCAGTTTGCGTGAAACATCCTGTTCCAGTGCAAACTCTTCCGCGGAGACCCAAACCAGATCACCGGCGCGGATGGGACATGGTACGCGACGCCTGTTGGCTTGCTGCTGCATGCGGACTTGAGCCTTTTGCATGTTTGCGCGGGCTTGAGTCAGCAATTCCCTGTACTTCCGGACGGAAGCGGGAGAGCAGGCAGCGTCAATGTCGGCTGGTCGAGGGAGGAGAAGGTCAGCGAAGATCCGGCCTTTCCGTCCACCGTGGTACAACTCGAATGGAGTCACGACGATCACCGGATGCACCGAAGTGTTGTAGGAGAACTCGATGTCGGGGAGGCGGTCAACCCAATCTTTCTGGTCCGGACGGATGAGCGTACGAAGCATCATTTGAGCGGTTTGATGTGCCCGTTCCGTCTGCTCGTCTGTCTGTGGATGCCGAGCCGAACTTGGTTTCATTGTTGTGCCGGACTCCTGCATGAGAGCAATCCAAAATGTCGACATGAAACGAGTGTCGCGGTCGCTGACAATGTCTTCTGGTACACCGTGGCCACAAATCCAACCAGTGTGCAGGAGGCGTGCCAGCTCGGAAGCCATGGAGTAGTACTTGCAAGGGAGAAAACGCGCGTACTTACTCAATCGGTCCACAACCGTGAGGATGCCGTCGTGCCCGAGCCGGTCGCGGGGAAACGGACCGGTGACGTCCATGGCAATGGAGAGACCGGGTTCCCGTGGGATAGGCATCGGGTGTAACTCGCCATAGGGATTGCGGTTGCGGGGTTTGCTGCATCGGCAAACTCCGCACGAGTCGCAATACCAAGTGACATCGGTAATGAGGTCAGGCCATCGGAATCGCTGTCGAAGCCGTGCAATAGTGCGGTTGACTCCGAAATGGCCGGCGAGTCGCGAATCATGATACTCGCCGAGGAGGCGAGTCCGAAAACGATGGTCGCATGGGACACATAGTAAGTCTTTGCCTCTCGAGTAGAGGAGCAAGTACCCGTCGACAATGCGGTAATGGCTGGCCGACGGGTGATCCGCAGATAGCTGTGCATACAGCGTGGCGAAGTTCGGATCAGACTCGTATGCCCGGATGAAGTGTCGCTGAAGCTTCTCGTCGAATGCGAAGGCATGATGTGTCATAGCGCAAAGATCAGGTCTTCGCGAGAGTGCATCTGCTGCGCGATTTGAGAGGCCGGGAAGATGTTTCGGTGTGAAGTCAAACTGGTCGATGAAGTACATCCATCGTCCGATCGTGCTGCTCACCGTATCCTGCTTCTTGTAGGTCAATGGATTGTTGTCCGTAACCCATGTGAACCTACGACGCCCAAGGAGGAAGTGCCGCCATCGCTTGAGAGCCATGACGAATGCGAGCAGCTCCTTCTTCCTTGCATCATCAAGCGAGTTGATGGGAGGCACTTTGTGGCAGAAATACTCCACAGGGTGCCAGTCGTCGACGTCGTGCTGTTCCAAGACTGCCCCAATGCCATAGCAGGAAGCGTCCCTAGTCACTCGCGTCAGCAGGGTGGGGTCATAGGTGCTAAGGACGGGTGCCATGAGCATGGCCGTCTTAAGTGCTTGGAATGACCGGCGTGTGTCGTCATCGAATACGAATGGCACCTTTGGCGACTGTAACCTCGTCATAGGTGCAGCAATCCTTGAGTATCCGGTGATGAATCGCTGATAGTAGCCCGCCAATCCCATGAATGAACGAACGTCCGTGGTGCTGGTGGGCTCGGGCCATACTCGTAGGGCCTCGATCTTGTCCACAAGCGGACGGATGCCTTGCGGCGTCACATAATGTCCTAAGTACTCCAGCTCCTGTCGTGCGAATTCGCACTTGCCGCGGTTGGCCTTGTACTTGGCTTGTTGTAGCCGCTCCAAAACGGTGCGCAGGTGTTCCACATGCTCCTCCAAACTCCGGCTGTAGACCAGAATGTCGTCGAGGTAGATAAGTACGAAACGATCCAGCATATGTCGGAACTCCGTTGCCATAGCCGCTTGGAAAGTGGCCGGGGCATTCGTAAGGCCAAATGGCATAACCAGCCATTCGAAATGCCCACATTGCGTCTTAAACGCGGTCTTGTAACGGTCCTCCTTGCGAATCTCGAGTTGGTGATATCCCGACTTGAGGTCCAGCTTGGAGAAAAACTTGGCGGCGCCCAGTCGCTCGAGAAGGTCGTTGATGCGTGGGAGAGGGCCGGCGTTCCTGATTGTCTGCGCGTTGAGCTTGCGATAATCAATGCACAACCGCAGGTCCTTGTTCTTCTTCTGGACGAAGAGAACAGGAGCACCGTATGACGATGAGCTAGGCCGAATCCAGCCTTTCTCCATAAGGTCGCCGAGTTGTGCCCGAAGCACACTTAACTCTTCCTCGCTCATTCGGTAGATGCAACCGCGCGGAGGTACGGCCTCGTCCTCGAGGATGATCTCGTGGCGGATGGGTCGATCCGGTACTAATCCATGCGGGCCTTTGAACACGTCGCTGTAGGCGTCGAGAAGTTCGGTGATGCGTGGGTCCGAAGGTGAGTCCGTCGATGAAGCGTCGTGGGGCGGGAGGGCGTGGAGAAAACACACCCCCATCTCCTCGATGTCGTCTCTGATGATGGAAGCTCGCATGCTTGCGGCGGATACCACGTGGCAGCTGATCGAAGGATGAGGAAGAGGCACCGTGCATGGAACTAGTACTCCGTTCCGATCACGAATGTGAACAGTGCGGTGGAAGAAGTTCAGCGGGTGATCCTTGCTTCGCAGCCATGACATGCCCAAGATCATGTCAAATTTGGTGTCTTGAATGTCAAAGGACACCGCCTCACTTGCGTGAGGGGCAAAGTACACTAGGACGTTGTCAATGCACCGGTCGATGGACTTGTGCGTGTGACCGTCCGCCAACGTGACTTGCGTAGGCGGGGACTTCCTTCGGACGCGTGGGCCAAGGCCAGCGCGCACCATGAAGTCCTGGCTGATGTAGTTGTGAGATGCTCCGCAATCGATCAAGGCGTTGCAGGTCGCCTCTCCGATCTGAATGCGTACATATAAAAATGGTGCGTCGATGTCGTCGTACCGTTGCGTCTTGAACTCGCGGTCGATCTTCGCAATGTAAGCGTGAAGGTCGACAACCTCTACTCCGGCGTCCATCAACGGAGCTGGTACTGCAGTGTGCAAGTAATCCCGCAGTTGTGCCATGAGCACATTGCAATGCGGTTTCGACAATCGTCCGGTCGGGGGAACGGGCATCCACTGGAAGTCTGTGAACGTCAGAGGGTCGAGCACTTCAAGTCTTGACCACGACGATGAATCCCCGACGATAGATTGCGGCGAAGTTGCCGAATCGGTTGCCGATGGTGATGAAACCGTGCATGCGATGGATTGTTGCACGTGAAGCGGTTGGTCCAGCGGTGGAACCAAGTGGACAGCATAGTCCTCGTAAGTGTAACGAGAACCTGCGACATTCGCATCCTCCCCAGATGTGCAGGAGGCCGCTAGCAAGGCGGCCAAATCTGGCGGAGTGGAAGGTGGAGTCGCCTCACCTTCCGAGGAACTCAGTTTCCCGAGTTGAGGCGGGGTCGCACATCCTCCTTGCCTTGATCCTGGCACAGGGAGGTCTTGTGCTTGGTGCTGTTGCACCAATAGCAGCTGCCGTAGCGGCCGCGGACCTTGTACTCCGCCTCGGTCAAGCCGAACTTGACCCATGGAACTTGTACTGGCTGTCCATTTCCGGCCTGCGATGCGGATTTCGCCTTTCCATTGTTGCGGGACTTGTTGTTGCTTCGCGGCTGGACAACAGCCACCTGATCTCCGTCACTTGATGTTGGAGTGGCTGCTGGGTTATCTCCACTGTCCGACTGGACTGCAGCGAAGTGCTGCTGTCGCGGACCAGTTCGTACCTTCTCCACATAGGTCGGCTGCCATGTGGACTTCTCGTGTGCAGCTGACCTGTTGGTCTTGATGATTTCCCTCGCCTTGTCAATGATCTCAGCAAAGGTTGAGTACTGCTCGCGATCACCAAGAGCCTGGCTCAATGCCGCACAGGACCTGTTGTAGAACTCACGGCGTAGATGCGTAAATGCCAATTCCAGATTGGGCACCGCCGCAATCTTCTGCCACTCCATGAGCCAATCCCGTGTTGCAGTGTTGCCCTGTGACATGGTGAACAAACGGTTGATGGCGAGTGTCGGCGCGTCGTCGACGATAAACCGCTTCTTCCACAGCCGTGTCAGTTCCTCCCATGTGATTTTGTCCTTCCAAGTCTGGTACGTCGACGCCGTGAGAGGTTGCCAGGTGGCTCAACCAGGTCTTTGAGTTCAGGAACAGGGCGCCGATGTACGCGTGCTTGGCGACGGGCAGAATCCTGACTTGCGTTGTGAATGCTTCCCACCAGAGGACCGGATCCTGTTGTGTGTAGTTGTCGAATTTGTCCAGTTGGAAAGTTGGCATCTTGTGCATCTTCGGATTGTCATCCGCGTTCGTCGACTGCAACTGTTGGACCTCGGTCTTCAAGGTATGCAGTTGACTGCTGATGGTGGTCGGCGCAGCGAAGGTGCTGATGTCGCCGAGCATTTCCACTACGTGGTCAACGCGTTCCTCTAGTTGGCGGCTAGAGGATGCACTGCTGGAAGCCCCAGCAGCTGGTCCTGGTACAGCCTGTTCCAGGTCCAGCAATCGGGCATTGAGTGCCCGAGTTGCATCCTCGTGGCTCTGCACTGTATGGCGGAGCTTTGCCAACTCCTGATGCTGTTGCGTCAGGTTCTGGTACTGTTTCTCCAACTCGGACCGTTGGTAGTTGCAAGCATACAACAACCGTGTCACTAGTTTGGAGAGAAACTCCTTATGCTGCTCGTCCGGTGTTCCGTCGTCGCCGTTTGGTTCAAAGTGCCAGAACTTGAGTTTTTCGATGCTTGTGGCTTCATGCCGCTGCAGCAGATCCTGGGCTTCCTTGCGGCGAGCCTGGGCATCTGCGTCTGCTTCGGCCTGTAGCCCCAGCTTCTCTGTTGTTGCCGCTTCTTCAGCCTGTAGCTGGGCAGCCTTGACTGCCAGTTGGCGTTGTTCCTCAGCCTCGATTGCAACGAGCTGAGCCTGGAAGCGCTTTTTGTAGTCGGCAATGGGCTCATTGGCCAGTTGGCCCGGCAGGCTGTCATGTTGCTGACGTGGCACTGTGTCTGACGTGGCGCTGCTTACGTGGCACTGTGTCTGACGTGGCACTGCTTACGTGGCACTGTGTCTGACGTGGCACTGCTGACGTGGCACTGCTTACATGGCACTGTCTGACGTGGCACTGCTGACGTGGCACTGCTGACGTGGCACTGCTGACGTGGCACTGCTGACGTGGCACTGCTTATGTGGCACTGTGTCTGATGTGGCACTGCTGACGTGGCACTGCTTACGTGGCACTGTGTCTGACATGGCACTGCTTACATGGCACTGTGTCTGACGTGGCACTGTAGCTGACGTGTCACTGTACCAATCCGGAAATGCATGCAAAGGGTGGGTGGGAGGGAAAAACGCAGGTAGGAAACCAACCCAACAATACTTTCATCCGGCCCTAATCAACAGATAAAAAATATAATAAAAAAAATAAAAGAGGACTACTTCCCTTTTTTTTTGTGTGTGTGTATATCTGTCGATGTATTATGAGTAGGACATGTCAGAAGAGTATTATGAACGAGATCTAGGCTAGGTTCCGCAAAGTTTCGGCTTTTACAAACAGCGATCTTGAAAAAAAAATTTTGCGAGATGGAGTAAAGATGCGATTTTCAGAAGAGAACGAAATCCAGTTTCTGAGAATATGCAACCTCCGAATATGCCTAACGCAATATTGGTAGGCTTCGCAAAATTTCGGTTTTCAAAAAAACTTTGCGAGATAGAATGGAAATTCGATTTTCAGAAAAGAATAATTTCAGTTTCCGAGAATATGACCACTTCTATCGTTATCCCAATATGCCTAGAGAACGAAAATACTAACTTCAGAAATTTC